AGTAGGAGAAAAGGTCAAAGTAGGGGGGGGGGGAGCAAACAGGTTCAAAAATAAGTGGGAATGGAGGGGTCAAGAAGAAGCAGTAAGTGGATACGGTGTTTTAAGTGTACCTGTTTGTTTAAATTATAGGAGTGTTGAGAAGTATCCTCTCTTATAAAGCATATACTTGACTCTACAATATATTCGGATATTCTGGATACGGGGAAGTGATTGTTTCTATACTTAAATGACTATGGTCTACAATTTGCTCAACTTATTCTATTTGATGAAGCTATTCAGTCACAATATTTTATCATTTTACCAAATTGTCGCGACTAGTTCTTTTTTTAACATTTTTGGTCTTTTAGTAGTGGCTCATTTTTATCTAATTCAATGCTAAATATCATGGGACAGCGCGGAAATGTGTTTCTACTTGGGAGGCTGAAGGATTTAACCTAATTGAGTAATTGTCAAAAAGAACGCGATAGGCTGGATGTAAACCTTTAACGCCGGTATTATTTCTTTGATAAATGTACTCAACCGCACTCACGCGTGTCTCACAGCAGACTAATGTCAATGTGAAGAGTTTCGGAAGCATCAGACGAAGGCTATAGCCATGTATTGAACATGCCTCAAGCGCCAATACCACCTTCTGTTACAAGTTTAGTATCAATGGAGCTTATTTTCAAAGAAGACCATTCGGTCCTAAGAGCGTTAAAGAGTTAAATGACAATAGCGGTGCTACTGAATGTTACAGACAGCTTCAACTTATAAAATATAATGCGCCAATTGGCATTATTCTTTGCCTAATAAATGGTTCATATAGAAAATAAAAAAGGCTAATATTTCTTCACTTTTACCCAAATTTTCAAATTAAAATTGCTTGAGTTGTCTACACTTGAAGCTCTTGCTGAGGTAATCGATATGAGCTTGCTATGACTAACTAAGCTGCTTCAAGTACTTTCCCAAAAAAACTCCTCTCCTTCAAGATAGGAAGAGGACGAAGGGGGTGGCAAGATGATTAAATTGATTGAAGGTGACTCTTGACAGTCATGTAAAAGGGAGCCTGGATGGCGTTTTCGATAGACCAAAGCTCAAAATGTGGCTGTAGGATGAACAGCTTGATCTCCAATGGATGAGCGAAAAAAAATTTCGTGAAATCTATACAAAATGATATGACTTCAAGCTCCTGCTATTTCTAGCTGTCGGTGATCTGTCAAACACGCAAGTAGTGCAATTTCGTGGCGTCTCTTTGTAGTGTTTGTTCCTCTTTGCGTACGACCTAAGTGTGTTGCGGATGCAGACAGACTCGGCTGGTAAACGACAAAATAAGGGTCCCACAGACCGGGAACAACAGCTGTGAACAGATCTCAAGTTGTTCAAGGGATGGAGTAAGGAGAAGGAGAGTGTAAGCCTGCCAAAAAACAAACGCAAGACAGTTCCCTCTGGCGGTAACAACTGTTTGTGTGTTTTTTTGGCAAGAGACCGTTTATGGCTTTAAAAGAGGCGTATTCCCGTCTTGGGAGGCTAATTAAAACTGACTAGTCAAAAGTGCGGTTAAGAGGAGCAAAAAAATCAAATTACCTGAGAGAGAGATAGCGCGCAAGAAGAGAAGGTTGTAAGAAATGAAGCCACAGAAGAACGAAGGTGAAAAAATTGAGCGATATCACACGAACAAGTAACAAGCGGCTTTATTACTAAACGTGTTACTACGGCAGTTATTTTGGATGTTCATATTTTTCACTGGGAAAATTAGGTATCGTACACATGTCTTTGGAGAAATAACAATTTCCTTTTTTCAGTGTCGTGTTTTTCATTAAGAAAAGCTAAAATGAACCTTAAATATGATAATTGCAGCTGCATTTTCGTGTGAATTCACGTCTAACTTTAACTTTAACTTGTTTAGTAGTTCTTCGTGAACATTAAAAGGGACGTGGAATTAATTGATTTAACTTAAAATTTCAGCTCTATTTGGAGCGGCGTTTCAAAACTTGCTGCCAATTTAAAGGCAATATTTAGTGTTTATTCCATAGTGTAGTTTTTCAAGGTACAATGATCTCGTTTAAATACTCAAATTTGACTATTAGGTTTGTTTTAATGTACTGAAAGTACGTGAATTCGTGCAGTTCACATGACAACAAAGCTGTATCAGAGAGAGAGAGAATATTTAGGCCATTGAGTGCATAGCTCTCAATACTGGGTAATTGAAAAGTTAATCATGAAGATTTCCAGTGTGTCCAAGCGGCATATGAAATTCTAAATATTAGCCTTCACCGGCTGAACGCCCACCCAAGATGAGATGGGAGTGGTGTAACCACCCTTTCCTTAATCGGACGTAATTTCTGATGTTAATTTTCTTCTGGCATCAGACAAGTTAGACTGGGATCATAAGATATGTGATACTGAAGCCACACATGAAATCAAATGTAAAAGTAGGTCAGACTACAGACAAGATGGTGCAATCCACCAAATACTTTCAAAGGCAACAAGGGAAGACAGAGTTAGCTCTTGAGAGGGGAGGGAGAAAGCGAGACACAAGTCAAATTATTTCAAGCTGAGTACTTCAGACGCACTGAACAATTCGCGAAAGAAATTCTTAAACCCCTATTTGCCCACTCTACATAGATAGATAGTATTCAACTGCCTCAAAGGAACACCCATACATTAGCTTCTAAAAACTAAAACTTGAGAACCTACGTTTTGGAAGTGGCTATCTTGGCTATATGACGCACTTACGGGCATGTGTTCGCTTTTAATCATTTCTTGATAATTGTTCAACAAATCCAATGAACAAAACCGAGTTCAACGCAAGATCGTCTATTGGGCAATTGCTATTTTCCTTCCTGGGGTGCAAATCGTCATCAGGCTGTTTGCCAAGTCTCCCTCACTTCAAGACATGGGATTAATTAGCCTCTCATTTTTCATTTATGAAGGGGCACGTATATCAACATCCGGTAAAAGTTAACTAAACCACAATACAGGTCTCTAAAGTATTAATGTAAACAGAGATGAAAGAATTTGTTTGAATGGAAGACTATGCCTTCGATGCATTTAATGAACATGAGCACTAGAACTGCTTGATGTTTAAATTCCATTATTATTTTTATTATAGCGGTAAATGCACTCCATCATGCACCCTAAGCATAGGATTAACAACTAGGAGTCTGTAGATGGGAACTTTGAATTCTGCCACGTCTCTTTATTAATCGGTCATACACAGCCCACTTTATGAGTACTAGCGCCTCAGAGCTTTAGCATAGAAAAAGTTAGCAGACGTTCTTTAGCTGGGTGTTCACTCGAGAAGATCGAAGTAATGATTTAAGTAATTAAAACAGACACCCACTTTACTCAGGCTTTTCAGTTTATTGATGTTCACAGAGCTTTTGCTGAACTGGAATGCCATTGACTAAAATAAATTTCCCTCTATTGTTCACCCACCATTAAAATGGGCCGAATCCAAGATTAGCGTTCAAATAAGGTAAACTAATTGCTGACACTTAAAAAATATCCAAGATGTTGGTTGATGACACCTTGAAGCATTTTCACATTTGTCTCAAGGAGGTTTTTAATGGCTGAAAAGAGAGTAGGGCAAATAAACACTAAATTATTAATCAGTACACTTAGTACTCAAGTAGGAAATCGTATGATGCGACAGTTAACTCATGCAGGAAATAAAAGTTAAATTTAGTCGTAAGACCTAATAACATCACGTTTTTGCAATGACATGTGTGGAAGTATGCTAATCCATATTTTTTGCGAAACACAAATGATCTGCAAACTATCCTAAGAAAGCGATTACTTGTTCTATATGAAAGATTATATTACTTTGCCTTCTTATCAGTAGAATTAAAATGTTTAGTGACTATACTTAATCTTATTTTGGATATCGGTGTGATGGCTGCGAAAAGTACACAGTTGTAGACTAACAATAAACGTCCGTTATCTTATATTCTCATAAGTACCATAAATTGAAAAATGAAAAATATGTCAATTCGTTTTAAAAGGGGTGGATAATAAGCTCAAGTTTTGTATTCCCATAGGGATAAAAAACGTCCTTACAAATAAACATGTAAAAATAGACTTGAGGATTCTAAGGCTTAACTCTGAAATTTATATATTTGAACTAAGGTCAGGAACTCTTAACATAGTTACCATGTTATGTCTATAAATATATATCATGTATTTAAAATAATGGCTAATTTGATATCATTTTATCTCTAGGATTAATTTTGAATAAAGTCAGGAACAGAAGTACTCATATAAGGATTCATATGAACGTATACGAGGCCTTCATTTAAGTAGTGATATACCCCAGAAATGTCTTAAATGATATTCGTCAAGTCACCTTGCATATTCCATTTTAAATTGAACTGGCGACCCAGTGATCAATCTCCACATATGAGCAATCAATGCTCGCAGTTACATTGTCCATTGGTAAAGTTTACCTAGCTAATAAAATGGTCTATAGAATTAAAGTATCTCACAAGGAAGACAGCAGACACGAATCCTTAACACAAGATGAATGCTGAAAAACTGAGACTACTTTCGCACAATTTTCAATGTTATAAAAAATTTGTTGTTAGTGACCCTAAAACATTTAATTTTGAAACTGAAAATCAGCAATCAACAATTGAGAGCTTTGCTTTTACCATTACTGTCAAGACTACTAAGAATAAAATTGAAATTTATAAAGAAAGAGAAACGTTGAAAACTTAATAAAGGGAAATAGATGATTGAAAATGCTATATATTGATTCAGATTGTTTACTTCTAGTGTGATATTGCATTGTTTTCATTACCCCCAGAGTCCAAAAATAACTGAGAAAGAGATAAATCAGCAAAAAATTTCATATAAAATAATACTACATAAATTTTTGCCAAAAATATATTTTTTTCATATTTTTGTTCATAATATTCGATTTTCAGGCAGTTTTCAGTTGGTCAATTGGGTTAGTGTACGGGCTAGGTCATTCAAAGCCTGAAATAATACAACCACCATAAACGTTTCGTTTTCTTTCTACAATGGATCAGTTTTCTATGGTACACTCTGTCTGTTGAATCTTATTTTTATTTAGCCTGGTAAATGCGATGCACTTAAAGAACCTCGCGGATTTGTGAGAATCATTCAGCTTGTAAGATGCTATTTGATAAAATATTTCGTAGCTTTTTGCAATATTTGCATTTGCATCGACTACAAGTTTTTACGGCCATTTAAATATATCGGATGATTGTATTAAAGGTGTTCCTGTAAATAAGACTATCAGTTATCCATTTAAGTAAGCACTGTTTGAGCATATGATATCTTTAGTTTGGCATCCTTGGGAAATCTCGTACCAATCTGTGAACCCAAAAAGCCACTTTATGGCGACTTTTCTTCTGGAGCACAATTTTATGTATTCGTTGGAGTCATTGTTTTCCTCTATTGCATTGGAACGTTACTTCTATACACTCTTTTTGTCAATAATTATGAATCAAACGCGCTTATCCGGAAATCGGTAAGTTAATCATAATCTACTAACCTTTAAGGATTTTGGCGTTAGTGCGGTTATTGTGATACTATGGTTTATTGCATCTGTATGTTGGGCCAGTGGTGTTGATAAACTCAAACGCTATACATCGGCAAGTGATATTAAATTTATGATTAACGGATCAGCTAATTGCGTTGTTGACGCTCCTCATGGTTATGCTGGATTAAATATATCACTGGTATGTTCATCTCCCTTCTTCCTTTGTCGTGAATTGGTGTTTATTGGGTCTACTTTATCCTAATCTCCCTTTAAAGTTGTTCGGATTTGCCAATGTTGCCTTGTGGGGAGCAGCTCTCTGGTTTCTATGGAAAGAAACACCATGGTTCAGTGGGGAAGCTGATGCACTTCGTCAGATCGATTCTATTCCGGAAGTTGATGGATCTACCTTGTGAATCATCCATCAGAGGGCTATTTTCTCTTCATGTTGCCAATGGAGTTTTTTGTGGTTTAACATTAAATTCTTCCCCATCTATATCATTTGCATAATCGGAGGACGTTAGTTGCTCTTTTAAAGGATTGAAAATGATTTCTTGGCTTAATGTGTGTATTTTCATTGAACCACTATTCCTTCTTTTCCCAATGCTCTCAACTTTCGTTTTTTTCATCTGTATTCATAAACATGTAACAGTACTATCGTGTCCCTATTTACATGCATATTGAATTATTGCTATTAAACTGTATTCATGCTTCATTTTTAGACTCACTTTTACAACGCATCTTTCCGATCTTTGTTAGAGCGTTTCGATCAATGTAGAAACTCAGAATCCGGAATGGTGATATCGATTTTTGAAACACTCAGCCTTTCTCAGCTTATCGTATTCCAATGGACATTATTTCCATCTGTTTTGTCATGTTTCATATCAAGTGTGTCAGATTTATAAAAGAAACAAAACGATTAATCTGGACCGAGCCAGAGCATAGATTATTATGCTTAAAAATATCTCTGAGTCTGCGCAGGTAGGATAGCACCTGTGAAAATTGAATTTCTATACTAATGTTAAATTGCAAATTAACGAAATATGGTCTCTGATCATTCAAATTGTTAACCTCTGATCATTGCTTAGGCTCCTCACCACGACTGAGTGACAGACGAAGAGATGGGTTTATTTTCAGATCCTTACTAAATAGAAAAGACATTAAAGTTGTAATAAAAGTATTTTGCTTCGCTCAGAGCGTTGGTTCCCCGAGTTTTCCACCCACTCTGGGTGGAGTAAGTTTCATCTCGATTCTCTTTAAATGGGCATGTTTCGCGGGAAACTTGATTCTTTGAAAACACAAGTTTACGGTTTCTTTGAGCAATTGTCCAATGATAATCAGCTTCCACATTGATAACATATTTTTTCCTTCCACTTGGGCCCTGCCGGATACATGTCTCTTTTCTATCGTCAAAATCGTATTGGCCAAATC